GCACATCACACAAGTAACACAAGAGTTACACATGCACATGATCAAATAATAATCAAATAATTGATGTTTTGATTACATACAACAATTGAATGAGTATGTAATCAAACCACAAGTCCTGCATGAGGGATTTTCACGTTCTTGAGTATATTAAGAGCTCTCTGACATGCCAGGAAAATCAATCATCATCGTTACTTTCAACCAAAATATCAACAAGTTCAACAATCAGACAAATAGAGTTCTTGTCCTCATTGTTAGAAATTATACATTTCCTGATTGCTCATTACCTTTGTTATTTGTTGAACACCATGTCTGTTTTGAAGTAGCACGTTGACGTGCTCACACCAATCAATTTCCGTAGAGGGTGGATATAACCTACAAACAGGTCTGAGAGCTAAGCATACAATTGCCTTTGTCAAGAGGTTCAGACAGCAAGAGTGTTAAATGGGCTCCTTTGTTCATAGTTCCATTGACAAACGGTACATTTTTGATTGTCTATTATTATTAACAAAGGATTTGCATTTTCTAGAGACAAATTGGTTAAAGATCTGTTCCATTTTATTACACAACTCTCCGTGTGAGCACATCAACGTGCTCATGGGGGACGGACATGGTGGAAGTTCTGTTGAAGACTTCTTGATTTCCTTCAGGGGGTGATCCTTGCAGTACTGCTCAAGTTATCAAGGGGATCTAATAACTTGAGAAACTCTAAATTCACAGGAGTTCCTCTGTTTTCAGAGCTTGAAGAACTTTGGATATCACTAGGTGATATTTCTCTTGATTCACAAACTCTAGAGTGGAGTGTTGTTGGCTTGGGTACAAAACTAGACTGTAGTTTGTACTCTTCTTCCTGCTAGAAGGTCTTGCATCAATCCTGTATTGGTAACCAAAACCCTTTGTTTAAAGGTCAATTGACTGAATTCAGTGCTGATTTGATCACACTACACTACAAAAAATATAATGTTTTCTGGGCAGAAAACACAAATATTGATATACAAAAATATTGGGTGGTCAGGAGGAGGGCAAAAGATACAAAAAAATATGGATATTGTTCCTGGTGTTGAAAGCTTCAATCTGGGTATTTTTTTGTATTTTTAGAGTGCGTATTGTTGAACGTACTAAAAAAATCCATATTGATCAGATGTACAAGTCTATTCAGAAAAGATACAACACATTAGTCGGGGCCGGCGCAGTACACCCACTTCGGTGACCGGTGTGTGACATGTGCAACCGACTGTGCACCACCAAAAAGCTGCACTGATTTTTGGTTGCATATGTGACCCCAAAAACGGATTCAGTAAACCAAAATGCGAAAGAAGGCGCACACACATTTTTGCGCATATGTGCAAAAATCTTGCGCATTCTTGAAAACGACTAAAAGTCAAAGATTTTCAAATAAATGCAACTGCGACCTCTCGCATCACTCTCTTGTGATGATCCTATCACTCGATTTTTTTGTATTTGTTGGTTTTTTTCTCTCTTATCACGACCAACATCACCTCATCATCACTTCAACCTCAATCACTCTCAAACTTTCCAAATTCAAAGCCTGTTAACTATCTCATTTGAACCACTTCAGGCTTCTTGACCATCCAACCTGACTTTTGTGATTCAACTTTTAATTTCAACTGTTTTCATCACATTTATGTATCATGTTCAAAAGTTTGAAATGTTCATAAAAGAACTGAAGTTTACAAGTGAGATCTGGTACAATGATAAGTTGAGATTGATGCTTGGAGAGTGAGATTTGGTTGATCATTGAACTTGATGAAGTCAATGATCTTGTTTACCAACTGGTAACAGACATCATTGTGATTGATAGTCTCAAGAAGTTGATCACATTTCACTTTCTATCTGATTACCGAACATTTCCAACGATCAAACTCTTGTGTGATTTTACATATACATACACAGTGAGAAAATTTCTCACTGTGATGTAAAAGTTGCATTAAATTATTAATGCAACTTTTGTTACCAAAGTGGGTGGTAAATGTATTGTATCTTTTCCAAATAGGCTTGTACACCTGTAACAGATGCTGAAATTTGGTTCCTCAGATTGGAGAGGACAATTTGATTTCTACAAATTCTCATAAAATTTGCAATTCTTGGTCAAAAGACTTGCTTTTAGGCTCATTAGAAAGCCAGAGTCTCTCTCTGAATGTCTTAATTATGAGTCAAGGCTTCATCTTTGCGCACAAAGCAGCTATAGCCGCTTTGAATTACTGTCTACAAAGCCACATAGATTCTTTGCAACGCAAGTCACAGCCCTGTCACCTCAATGAAAGATCTGGAGACAGAGTTCAGCTTTCTAATGAACCAATAATCGAGTGTTTTCCTTGGCAATTGCCAAACTTGTGAGCATTTGTAGGTTTCAAATTGTGCTCTCCAATCTGAGGAACTAAATTTCAGCATCTGTTACAGGTGTACATCTGATGAGAATGGGGTTTTTTGTTAGTACGTTCAACAATACGCACTCTAAAAATACGAAAAAATACTCAGATTGAAGCTCTCAACACCAGGAACAATATCCATATTTTTTTGTATTTTCTGCCCTCCTCCTGACCGCCCAATATTTTTGTATATCAAGATTTGTGTTTTCTGCCCAGAAAACATCATATTCTTTGTAGTGCTACAGCCCTTTGCATGATTGATGACTTTGGAGAAAAAAAAACCTTGAGTTTTCAACAAAAAAAACCTCGAGTTTTTTCAAAAAGTGACCAAGTTTTTTTGAAAACCTACAGCCCTTTGCAGAATTGATGACTTTGGAAAAAGAAAAAACACTTGAGTTTTCAAAAAAAACCTGTGAGTTTTTTTCAAAAACTCATCGAGTTTTTCAAAAACTGAGCGAGCTCTTGTTCGTGAGTGTTATATCAATCAATTGAACCAACTTCTTGCCCAGTTTTTGAAAAAACTCGGTCACTTTTTGACGAAACTCGAGGTTTCTTTTTTGAAAACTCGAGGTTTTTTTTTCTCCAAAGTCATCAATTCTGCAAAGGGCTGTACTGAATTTTTCAAAAACTCATTGACATTTGAAAATTTCAAGAAAAACTCATTGACTTTTTCAAAAATTCGGTAGTTTTTTGAAAAAACTCAGTCACTTTTTCAAAAAACTCAAGGTTTTTTTGTTGAAAACTCGAGGTTTTTTCTTCTTCAAAGTCATCAATCATGCAAAGGGCTGTACTTCATTCATAACTTTGTTTAGAACTTTCAACAAAGTTTTCATGTGCTTAATAAACTTAGTTTGTTAAGTAAACCCTATTCTTTAGTGTTCTACTAGTACAAAAGACGCTAGTAGCTCACAATAAAACATTCTGTCAATTAAGATTTTGTTTTTGGAATGAGTAATTTGCATTATATGAATGCCAATTTATTATGACAAAAATATCATTTCAATGGAAAGTGTGTGATCCTAGCAGTGATTAAAGGATATTGTCTCAAAAACAGTTGTGAAATTGGATTTTTATATTTTTATCACGTGGGAATAGGCGTTCAAGCCATAAGTCTCCCCTCTGTGGCCTGCAGACAATTTATGTGCTTTGAGTAGGGAATTAATTAATTTGTGGCAGACTGTGCATAAAGCATGGCCCTGGGGGGACTTGTGTTGGGGTAGGTTGCCTGTAAATGTGTACAAGCTCGGGGTATATTTGGGTACAAATTTCTCTCACTGCCAAAGAGATTGTGAGAGGGGACACACTTGCTTCAGGCAGGAGTAGTTTTACACTGTACAACTTCTTGACACAGCTGTATTTCTGAGGTGAATCTGTGCAATCCAAACACATAGGAAACCAACTTTAGAAGAAGCCCAGAAAGTTTGACATTGAATCAAAGCCCAGATTATTGGTCTTGAAATCAGGCTACAGTCACACACCATGGGTTTTGAGTACACCAATAATTGCCTTGAAGATGTATATCCCCAAAACTTAGGCAAATGGCTACATCTGTGCTCCACTGGATCACTGCAGAAAACAACAGGACACAATCCTACATTCACATGAGGCACTTATGGTAAGGCAAAAGAAAATTTTTACAAAAAAGGACCTAAGAAAAAATTCTTATGACTTTCTGGAAGATTCTATGTAATTCTTAATCCATTAAAGACCTCAACACTTTAAAAGGGATTGTTGCCAGATCAGTTGAGGTAACCACAACTTGTGAGTTACATGATAAATGTTTTTCTTCTTCCTTGTTCTCTCTTCCTCAGATATGATTCTGTTTCTGTCTTCAATTTGGTGTGTGTATAATAATGCATAAGGAAGGCACATTCTCAGCACTGAGGCTTACAGTTCTCCACTAGAGTACATGCCATTTCATGTCCAGATAAGTTGACAAATGATTTCCAGATATCTTCTTCATAGTCATTGAATTTCAGTGAGAAAAACAAAACAATATCTAAATAGACAAATCAGAATACATTTGGGTTCTCTCTCAAGACCTAAAAGTGTGCTGGAGGCAACCTATACTTCATCCAACCCAAAGGACAACACATGGTATGAATATATTCAAACAAAACACAGATAGCACAGTATTTGTTCAATTTGTCACATCTTTCCCATAGCAAACTAAAAGTTGCTTCAAGGTCCATATCAAGATGGTTGGCTTGACTTTCCCACAATACCTGAATTATCTTTTATCTAATCAAGTTATTGATCAACCTCAATTGTATCCCTTCTCAGAATACAATTTTCCTCATGTATTGTAAGACACCATATGTCATTTGAGTCAGTTTTAAGTTTTTTATCAACTTTCCTGACTTCCTATGTCAATCCATGTGTCATGAGCACTCTGCCCTCGCAAACACTATCATATCATGCTTCACAGTAAACTCAAACAATTCCTGATTTGTGATTTGATCAGAAAGAAGAGGAATATGGAAATAAGAATCCAGAATTTTGGTGGAATAAAAGTACTGACCCAAGTCTCAGATATATATATATTAGGTCCATTGTAAAGTATTTGGGGAACTGTTAAGTTAGTTGATACATCGGCGGGGTATCCATAGTACAATGGATAAGGTTTTCATCTCAATGACTCTGGGTGTGAGGCATTGGAATTTGGCATTTTGTAAGAGTGCTCCATCTGAAAAAAATGTGACTTCATTATCATCATATCGCTTACTGTGCCATGTCTTCCTCGTGGAAGTGATGGATTCTGTGATATGTACAATGATTTCATAGTTGAACCACAAGCCATACCCATTGCTACATTCTTCCGTTGCCTTGAGTGTGAAACTAACGAGCTGGGCGAAATGCATGCGTTCTTGTACGACTCCTTGATGACTTTTACCTCTCTACAAGGTCAAGCTGACTGAAAATATTTGACACTAGCAGTTGATGTTGCTTCTCCTGACCGTGTCCTTCTAGCCCTGACAAATCGCTAGCTGATTTGCGTATTGGGCTCATCATGATAGATTGCTTTCGCCTCGGATGGTTTTCGTGTCAAAGGTGAGCTTGAGGGTGTATTGTGAGGATCAAGAGTTGATACATGCCCCTTTCTAAGTCATAGACTAGGTCTCCTCGTTGACTGTGCGATGAAATATCGGACGTTCGTAGCTCAGGCGCACACAGGGTCAAGTATAGGTTGACCCCCTGCCTTTGAAAGCAGCCCGCGGTGGGTGATAATGTAGTATCACTACCTCGAATCCGATATGTTCTATTGACCACCGGTGCTATTGACAATGATCCAGTGATCGGTAAACTCCATGATGGAGAATTCGAGATGTACTCCAAAATTCGAGACGTCTGTTGATACTCTGGTTTGGGAGTTCAACTGACCAGTAGTGAGTGCGTACATAGGCTACTCACCCTTGCCCTTTTTTTCGGGTGGACAGGATTTCAGCTCGCCGGTCCTTTGATATATTGATGCAGTGGCAGTAACGCGTTGAAATCAAGTCTACTGCCTACCCAAAGCGCTCAGCAAGTTCCTTTGATCATGATAATGGGTTTCTGCATCGTGGCGAGTTGCCGACCCATTGCTGCATGCCTCTGCACTAGTGCTCAACATTTTTTGCCACTCTTGTCATTTTTAGTCCCCTCTTCCCCCTCACAATCTCAAAATCCTCGACCAAACCATCTGTGGCTTTCCAGATCATCTTCTCACAGGGCATGTTGTCAAGTTTTACCACCTCCTGTCTCATTTCCATCTCTTTTTCGCACAATCTCACTTCCCTTTTTTGTCTCCTAATTTGTTCACCTGTCAATACAGATTGTCGATTCCGTCAACGGTAAACCCTGCCGAGTTTCTCCGAGATGAATAAGGCATGTTACCTCACTTCTCTGTCTGTTCCAGATGCTTCTGAAGCCTGTGGTCTCACAGAGGAAGCCTTTCTGCAGCTTTTGTCGGACAGAGTGCCTCAATTTCCCATTTGAGATATGTACACGAATCTTACATACAAATCTGTCTTGAACTTACCTTCTGAAGGATCCCGACTACCAAGTGCCTGGAAGTGCGCCCTCAAGCGGTAGTGGCTCTACGACGAGGTCCACTCATCCTAATTATGACTTCCGTCAGGACGAGCTTTCTTTGGGTACGCGCAAGAGGAATCGAGATGCCGACGAAGCAGAAGATGACGAGGAGGAAGAGGAAGAGGTTTCTGGTCGAAAGAAAAATCCTGGCCGAAGAAAAATTGATATTGAATATATTCATGATAAAGGCAAACGCGTACGTGAAACCTCGTGGCTCGCTGCCTCTATTCTCAACATCAGAGTAATAACGCTTTGGTTTTCGGGCTTCTTCACTCTCTGCAGCACATCACTTTTTCTAAGCGAAAGGCTGGGATTATGAAAAAGGTAAACAATAGTTCAATACGTCAAATCATCTTGCGCTCTGAGGATTATCATAGATTCTCACAAACTTTTTGCAGGCCTATGAGCTCGCTACATTGACTGGCACGCAACTCCTTCTTCTGGTGGTCTCAGACTCGGGGGTTGTTTACACTTTCACTACACCAAAGCTAGAAACTCTAGTTTCCGAACAGCCAGGAAAAGATATCATATTGGTATGTCCATTTCCGTTTGGGTTGATTATAATTCTGCCAATCGACCAACAGTAAAAGTCTGACTGATTTGAACCTGGACGCCGCAGAAATGTTTGGCCGATGGATCTTCAGAACTCCAAATCCAGCGTGAAAGCCCTTCCGAAACGACACCTATCATTTCAAAGTGTCCATTGCCCGAGCAAGAATTTTCTGAGGACGCATCTGGGTCACAAGCAAACACTCGTTTGACAGACGGATTGAATTCACTTGAACAACCTTACGCTCTAAATCCATGTGAAGCCAACGGCTCCGCTTCCTTCGGCCCACTTGGTTCTCATCCTTATATCTCTGATCACAATCAATCAATGTTACCTTCATACGATCCACTGATTCTGGGTCATCATGGGGTTGACAATCTGTACGGTCACTTGGGAGATCAGCTTATGAACGACGCGACAAATCCTTACTCTTCTTTACCCCATACCATCTCAAATCGACCACCTGGAAGCGCTTCTTATCTAGATATGAATCTCAACCAAACCCTTCTGAGAGGTGATAGCGGAAACTCGATCACAAATCCCGCAGAGTATCAAAGTATCAAGAGAAGAAAAACGGAAACAGACCTGCGTTCTAGATCTAGAACTGATAACACCGCTGCCTCACAGTATCCTCCTCTCCCGAACCAGTTCGCGGCTGACCTTCACAACCCATGGAATGAGAATCATGTCACTATGAAGTACAACATGGCACAACAAGCTCGTATCCTTGCACTTCAACATCCTACGATCACCAATGCCGTCTCAGCTTTCCTGATGTCTGAATACCTACGCCATGAGAATGCGGTTTCGTTTGAGTCCGAACCGCGAGAGGATTTGAATCGTTTAGAAAGAACCATGAAGCTGTTTTTGGATGCCTGTGATCAGTCCCCTATGAGTAATATGCATTCGGTTGGAGGGAAATCTTGGAAGGACGAAACACCACCGTCCTACGAGGTCCTTGGGAAGTGCTTATCATTTTTCTTACAAGAATACTTGCGTGAGTTCTTGAAGACTATTCTCTAAAGAATGACCTTACAAGGCTGTATGTTGAGCTGATGCCGTACGTATTAGCGCGTGTATGCGCTGGATCATCAGTAAATGGAATGGGGTGCTGTGAAGATATTCAAAGCTTCGTTGACTACATAAATGTACTCTACGACCAGCCACTCGTTCCTACAACCAGTATATCTGAATTGACCGCCCCTTCGACTGGCACTGATGATCCCCAGACTGCTTCCACTTCCACGGAGCCCTTCTCTGGAGCCGTATCCACAGTTCCATCATTATCTCCGGTAGGAAAATCAAAGACTGCTCCTAAATTGAAGCCTCGCAAAGGCGTCAATGTCTCGCTCCGAGGTGGTCGTTTGAGTACGAATTTGGAAGAGTACACAGCTTGGTGTCGACAAAACAAAATCTCATGGTCCGGTAACAACCCCCAATCAACTCTTGTTACATGGTTCAAAATTGAAAGAGTTAGAAGGACATTCTGTTGTTGTATTGCTGAGTATCCTTGTAGGTCTCTTTCATTCCTCCTCATTTCTACATCTCCATTTGGGATCACTGCTTATATAATCGCGCGGTTTCCCTTCAATCTAAAGCTGAGACGCAATTAGACAATGTACTCAAGATCAGATTTCCGGCCTCAGCGATAAAATTGATCCGGAAGCATGACAGACTAAAGCTGGAGGTCAAGAAAGCGGATGATGGATCAGAATGGAATATCTTTCAACACCTTGACTCTGACCTTTATCCAGAGGATGAGTCTGACGAGGACGAAATCAGTTTCCCTCCCGGAGACAAACCAATCGATCCTGAAGCTATCGACTCAGTGGCAAAAGGGAAAGGTATAGACCGAGATCAAGCAAAATCTTTCCTAGACTCAAGAAGATTGATGCGTCAACAGATTGAAGCAGGAGATTATGAAGATGATGGGTTTGAGAGTAAAGTGCCGCCGAAAGGCGGTAAACAGGCATTTAGGTTCGATCGCTCTCTCTTTACCATTCTTTCTCTCTTCACTGATTTTGTATACGAACTTGCCATTTAGGGTCAAACGGCCACCGAGTAAGCTGAAGAGACAAGCTTCTCCCCTCAGCAAAGCAGAAGATGCTGACATTCAAGTAGGATTGCCAAATCAACCGTCGAGATCTATCAACTAGATCTATATAATATACATCCTAAAAAATCCTAATCCCTTCAATCAACAAGTGCTACGATATCAATCTATCCATTTATTTATGTTCTTTTTGAATGATCTTTGGGCGCGCCTTATCGGACGTTTAAGAAGAGTGGTGCCTACTATTAATGATGCGAATTTCTCTTCGATTATTTCCAGCTCCTTTTCACTGATTGACAATGTGTGTTGTATCTTGTAATCCTCTGAAAACTTGTAACACGAGATTTTTGGACATTCTCAGGTCTCGAGGAACGTTGCCCCTCGGCCAACCTATCTAGCTTCGAACTTCAACATCAGTGTCCGCCCATTAGGGATAGACTATTATGAGTATACAGAAATCCGATTGGCCGTGTCGGGGTTGTATCCCAGTCAGAGCTTGGAACTGATATCAAAATCTGAGGAGAGAGTTTTCTCTGGTGAATTCTTTGTAATTCAGATGTGTTTAAAAATACCCATGCCTCCCTCATTCCTTACTACACAGACTCTCACATGGTGATCTATTCCCATTTCCAAATGCACATGAAAGTAGCTCGACAAACGAAATCTTGAGTTCAATCATTTGGGACGTAGTCTTCCGTAACACTTCCATCAAGACTCAGAGCTCGAAAACAAAAACTCATGGCATAGCTTTGAAGTCTCCCTTGATGGGGACGATCCAATAACAAACGCATTGATAACTTATTCTAAGATTCATGGTCATCATCCCCATGCTATATCAAAGACTGATGATTGAACACCACAAAGACATCCATGCTCTTAGTTAAGCCTACCAAGAGAATTCTGGATGTTCTTGGTGTATCTTCAATCTTCAATGGTGAGCCTTGTATAATATCGGAATAGAGCTCACTCAAAATCCATGGCGTTCAACCTTTGGCAAGTGATTGTTGAACAATCTTTAAATGTTGTTGAGCCTGGTTTAAATTTGATATGACCCCAACTGATTCTTGTTTTAGGACTCCTTGCACACGACATCTCAATCTCAAATATGAAACGAACAGATATGTGATCTCGCTCTACATTCTTAGCTGAAGGGAACCTCTGATGGTGTCTGTGAGGACTCACTGGAATACAGTCGACTCTGATATAACCGATACCCAAAAAATTGTATCAGTTTTCACGGAGTATCGGTTTTGTCAGAGCCAACTTCACTGAAATTTTTAAAAAAATGGCCGAAAATTATCGGTTTTGCCGAGATTATCGGTTTTGACAGTGTATCGGTTATATCAGAGTTGACTGTATTCAGCTAAATTTACTTCAAAAATTGCCATTGATGATTGGGTATCTTGATTTCCTTATCATTCATCAACTTTACGTGTACCATATGAGCTCCACATCCCATCACAGGGATCTGAGACTCTTACCATGAATCTACAGTGGCCTTTCCACAAAATTGTTCATGATCAGGAGCAGTTGTTCAAGTTGAGGAGAAGTGATGATGTTGACAGGTTTTGGAGGTTTTGGTCACAGTTTACCTGGAGTTTAGACCTTAAACCTTAGCTTGTTAAGGTGTTAGGTCAAATATATGCTTGTATGAGGTCACAGGTGGCACTTTGGAGTTTGCAGCCAATTGAATTTCAGTTGGCTTCCTCATTTCTCTTTTCCTTTTTTCTGAATGCCTCAACAATCTCCTGAACTAAAATCCTTGATCAAGGTAGCAACTCATTTATATCAAAATGTCCCTTCGAAGCCTGATCTGACAAATCAACTCAAATCTCAACTATCTGATCATTTTGGAATTCAATTGGAGGACCCTAAGCAGGCTCAAGGCTTGAAATTAGTCATCCTACTTTTCATTCGATACAAGACGTTCAGAGATAGTCTTCCTTCTCTAGTGAACTCGATCTTCAGTCATGAAGAGTTACGGGATGTATCCGTTTTTCATCATAGCGACGCAAACAAATCGCCTCTTTTCTCATCATCGTATCTCGCTTCATTCGATGACATGAATCAGCTTCAAAGTGATATGAAAGGATTAGTTTGTTTCAGTGCTTTACGTTGCTTGACTTCCATCGATGAACATTTACGAACGCTTTGTGTCAACGAAGTCGAAGAAAAGGGCGAGCCGATCCCTATCTTCGGATCAAAGGACTCACAGACAATTCATGGATTGGGTGATATGCTATCGAACTGGGGGATCTACCATTTACTGGCGATGGAGAGAAACCCATTGGCTTATTGCATTGGTCAACCGAGATCAGAGATGATCCAAGCTGAACCGAAACCCGCCAGCAGTCTATTGTCTATCATCAGGCAACTTGTAGCTATTGTACTCCCCAATGATTCAAAATCTTCAGATTTATTGTCAGATGTCGGACCATCTGACCGTTCAATACCAGGGCAACTCACGAACGTGCTCGATCCAAGATTCTCTCTACAAAGGATGCTTTTACCATGCATGTTTGTCCCTTTAGTTGCTGGACTAATCAAGCACAAGCTGGACCCGATGTCTTGCGTGAGCGAGTGGGCAGAACGCAACCTTGAAAACTTACTTGATCAGTCAGTTTTTCCTAAATCATACCCTTTGGATCAAGATCTTTGATGAAAAAAAAATTGAGATCTTCTTTTGGAAATTCATAGAGCCTATCCCCAAAAAGTCTTCGCTTGTCTACTTTCACTTTCTTCGTGTCCATCTCGAAAATCAATTCCAACTCGATCAGCCATCGAATTCCGTAGGGAGGTCTCGAAAATCTTATCAAGTCGATTACTAGAACCTTCAGGAGTTAGAGGATTTCTACAAGCTGTGATGGTCGACGATTATGAAGAAGACGATGATACTGGATCTTCTATGCCTTCAGAAAATAAATCAACTATCAAACCACATTCAACCTTTCATAGTACCTCCGCAACCTTAAACAGATTAAATTCAATCGCGCATATCTTGTGTAACCCTCCCCAAAGCTCGGATCCGGTTAAATACCTCAACCATCTTGTTAGTAGTTTATTACAAGTCATCTCACCTGATTTTCTATTCTATCAATCAAACGGAGCCCTCGAAAATCCACATTCAAGCAAGTCGTCCGACTTCAAAAACAATCACCCAAGGCCGAGCGGGGTTACTAAGGCCGCATGTCACGTTTTGAGCCAGATCATAGTGAAGCAGCCGAATTTCTTCAGGTCACATCTTGGACCAATGCTACATTCAGTTTTCATTCCATTTCAAGCTCGCCAACACACCCATCCTGCCCACAGTTCAAACTCTGATGAGTGCTCAGACGATGATTTTGATCCAATAGCAGTTACGGCAAACCAGATATCTCAATCCATTAACCTCTTGACAACATTGGTATTGAATTCAAATCCGTCTGATGTCTTGATCAGCGCCTTGATCCTTCCGATTTTGCCTCAAATATTGTCTTTGTGGCTATATCTATGCCAATCGCGATCGGAGCCACAACTACGCGAGGAGATTAATGACTTGGTGTCCGTCTGGGTGAAAATGTGTCCTATACAGTACGTTGGGGAGACTATCAAGCGATGTATCAGGGAGTTGGAGATCGGTAGGGAACTCAACTTGACTCATGTTGAAGGTCGAGGTGGTTGGAGGTATTGGTCGCGTGATGCTGAAGGACAAAGTTGTATAAGGATCACAAGGGACGCAGATGCGATCGGCACATCTGAAGATCTGTCCACCATCAAACCAGATCCAGATTACCTCATTGATTGGCTCGCAGGTCTCAAAAATGACAAACTGAACAGTAACATGTTGGTAAACTGGCTTGATGAATTAGAGTCTTTGCGACACAGAGAAGGATTAGCAGAAGCAAAGATGTGAGTGATGATTGCTATACTGAAAAGGCGATGAACGTGCGGCTTCATTAGTGGTTGTCAGCTGACGAAGGTATATATGTGGATGTAGGACCTTATTTCGAATGCAAATGGTACTGAAGATGATTGAGAAGCTGGACAGTTCGGTCGTTCAGGAACCTGTTCAGATATTGGAATTTGTCAAGCATTCTTTCTCCAGCTTGAGTGAAACACATAGTCATGGAACTTCATTCACAACGATCTCTTCTCGCAATGAAATACCGGATAAGTGTCCTACAGACGATGCCAGTAATATCTCAACTTCCCTCAACTTCTTGAAAATGGGAGAAAATGAAACATTGGATATTTTAGAGAAGGAAGATACGGAAGATGCAGAGGAGGCTGACAACAGCTTGATATTGACGGGTCTTACTTTACTATTGACAGTTCTTGAAGGTAATGCTAGCTCCTGCATCTAAGTTGTTCATTGAGATTAAAAATGTACATCCAAGATCTCTGACTGTTTTCTCCGACTCATACAGCAAATCCAAGTCTGGACGAACGATCGGCTGCCTCGCTGAAGGTGATCTCTGAAAAGCTTGACTACATAATTCTCCGATGCTCAAACGTCCGACCAGAAGTCAATGAACTATCATTGAAGTGTAGAATTATGCTTTCAGTAAGGAATGCACTTGCTCAAGTAGATCAATCAATAGATACTACACACAACTCGGTAGACCAATCCTCTGATCATCATCAAACACGAAGAACAATATTGAGTACCTACGAAGAAGGATTGAAGCTTGTTGAAGATCCTTGTTTACCAATTCGCGCTCAGGGTATCACAATCCTCAAGAAACTATTTAGCGGATATACCAAAACTATTGAGAACACCAAGCTGATGAGTGAACTAGTACCCAATGTTCTGGATGTTTTATTGAAGTTGATCGAAGAAGAAGATAGTTTCATATATCTCAACGCGATTAAGGCCATCAGTGAACTTGCTGAACAATTCAGTCACTTGATCTGTTTGAAGCTAAACAAACTTTATGCATTCAATGAGCTCTTTCAAACTATCAAAAAAGATTCACAATTTACTGAAGATGAACAACCAAACAAAGAGCTTGATAAGCGCTTACGGATTGGTGAAGCGATGGTTCAGATCGTTCAAAGGGCTGGTCAGGCACTTCCGAACTATCGTAAGTGATCATAACTCTTATTGTGATCTAATCTCGTGCACCAATCAGGCCAGAGTTCATTGACTATCATTCATCCTTTACAGTTAAACATTTCTTACCTAGCTTACTCTTTGTGCTTAGCTCAAAAGAGTTTCCAGTTTGCTTACGATGGTCAGCATTGACGATCTTGACTACTTGTGTAGAAACTTCGATCATTGCCATGTTACCTTACCTTTCAGACTTGATGGATAGCTGTTTGATCATCCTATCTCTCGAATCTCGTCCTACATTGGCTTCATCCACCGCAAAATCTGCTATGGATGGCGTCGACTCAGAAAAGCAGGAGATCACGAAGACCACTTTACCAGAACTAATCGAGACACCAGATAGTGAAAATCAATCTAAAAGCACTGATCCCAAGCGACGTGTACCAGAAGAAACGATACTTCCTGTTTCGAAAGATTCTGGACATCCTGCACTTCGTAGATCAGCCATTATGTTCCTTTTAATTACTTTATCTCTTAATGTTGATCAACTTGATCGACTTTGGAGACAGGAATATTTGACCAAGACAATTAGAGTACTTGAATATGTTAAATTAGTTGATCCTGATGGTTTAGTACAGCATCAGGCTAATGCAGCTGTAGAAAATTTGACAGATATGGGTTAGGAGATAAGAATGATTTGGGAGTTGGGATCATTATGGTCGCTGGTTTATATAGTTAAGCTTGTATTATCTTATTACTTTATCTACACTTCGGAGAGCTTCGAATGTGTGTTCAGTAAGAAATAAAATGTCTTGTCAAAAATAGGTTTTTCATGGAAAGATAAGTAATTGCAATCTTTGAGATATGTTTGCTTCGTCATCTAATTGTTTATCTCATGTATCATTTTTACTACTTATTCGTAATTTGGTGTATCATGTAACGATTTGCTTCAACAGTATACAAACAGGCGATTTCAAATTCGCACTCCATTAAGATCACATTTTCTTTAAGCTTGATCACACTGGGATTCACTTGCATACATATTTCTTTGCAAATGGTGTTCTTTGTTTCCCTAGCTTGGATCATTACAGCAAGTGTTCAAACAAGAATATTTCCTTTCTTGTGAGCCCTTCTCCTTCATATTGAATTCAGGGTTTTATCATTACACTAGTAGCTTCTCTCCACCTTCACTGGGTCAAAGTCTCTGACTGGCTCACGGATCAGTAGGGTTTATCTAAACCCCTCGTGTCAATTGCTAATCCAACAGTGGAGAAGTCAGAACCCGCAGAACAATAGAGAGAGTCAACTATCTATGCAATCACAACTGCCTAAACCCATACTTGTATAACCCATACTGTCTATATAACACTTCCACTCTTACACTCACTATGCGGATTGAGCATCAGTTGTTCTTTTGTTTTGGAAATATCAACTTGGCACTTACGGAAATCAAACCAACTAACTCTAAGTATGCTAGGCCAAAACTTTTGAATAAAATTGTCACCAAACAATCATCACCCTACGGGGTGGCTAGCGGTCCATACAACATAACAGTTAAACTAATAGAATCACAACAAACCGAAAAAACAACAAAAAATAAAAAATAAAAAATAAAAAATAAAAATTCAACCACACCAAAGACAATAAAAAATAACTAAATTAAACATACCAAAACAAATATAAAAAATGACCATGCTAATGAAATAAGAAAATAAAATAATAAGAAAAAATTTGTTTTCTGAAACAACTTCACAAACCACACATAAAATAATAAGCAAAAGATAAAAAAAGTATCCACCTAAAACAATTCCCTTAAGAAACAACCCACAAAACTGAAAAGAACTAAAAAATCTTTCAGAACATAGGGAGGGAAGGGAGGGATTTCAAAAATCAACTCTTTAACACTAAGATTGGTATGACAGAAAGGAAGATTTTTTAGGAATTTGATGAGAAAGGGAAATGAGAAAATTCCGTAAAGAAGAACGATGGAATTTTTGTATGACGTCAGCACACCACTCAATTATAAACACGATCCGACCCAACTTCTTTACATGAAATTTTCCCATATGTCCCTATCATATGATATTCCCGTAGGTTAACAAGTGACCTACATCTATTCTTTTGCTCCACACTATACTTATGTCTCAGCTATTTCAAAAGGAGTGTGTGTGAGTCACAATCTTGATGATTGACTGTCAACCTATGTCTACAGAAACATTACTATGTAAAGAGTTGCTCATTGGGTTTACTGTTGTCTCCTCACTTAGACACCTTTTCATCTCTTACTCACCACCTTCCAACAGTTGCTTATATATCTCTCATTAGCAATACATGATTCTGGCCTTATAGCACCTTATACTCACGCTATTGTGACTTTCATCAGACACCTGCCTTTCCCTATCTCATCACTTCATTATGCCTCATGATTGTTATTGTGATTCCGGAGACACAATCTTGAATCCTGGTGTACTTTGGATGGGGATTGAAGAGTCTACATCAGTCTTTGTTAAGCAAGAGTAATCAGACAGCGGTTATCAAGACTTGTAAACTCAAAAAGGTTAAGAAAAAGTATGATGAATTGAAAGGTGAATGTATATTTTTAGTCATCAAAATTTGGAGCACTTTGGAAAAAGGTGGTGATTCTAAAAATGGCTTTCAGCTATGAGACTGAGGGCGCGTTCACTTGAGGAATTTCTGACCACAAATCACATTCTGTAAATTTTGAATGTAAAAATGAAACATGCACCACCAAATAGACACTTTAAATTTTGCAGAATGTGATTTCTCACCAGAAATTGCTTAAGTGAAGACGCCCTGAGTAATAGGAAAAATCACCTTTATCCATCATAAGAAGATATATCCAACATTCAAATAATCCAAATCAAAAGTTTCACAGCATAAATCATGTCATACATTAATATAGAATTGATCATAGGCTTATATCAAGGGGTTTTTGAGGGTTTTTGTCACAATTCATTGGTTTTTGAGAGCTTTATACCATTGTTAGGTGTTTGTGAAGATGTTATATACTAGTGGTGGAATTTTTTAGGCTTTTGTCCCTCTTTTTTCTTGTCTTGTACTGTTGTTATAGTGTTTTTGATCACTAGAGACCATACAGGCATGCCCACACAAGCTTATGTGAATTTTACTGTTAAGCCATACATCAAAGTCAGAAATTCAATCTGATTGAGTATTAATAAAAACTTGAGTGTTGTATTTATCACAGGCTGGCATATACAAATCAATGGCATCCAGTGTACTTCCCCAATCCTTTGAAATTGAATGACATCATTGACGTTTGTAAAACTAAAGTATTTGAAACATGAGGAAAAAGAATAGCTCACTTCATGCAATTTGAGGCCACCAACATCAGAATGCACCATATCTTTCAAACCTGGAGGGCTTGTTACCTTTTCCTGTGAAAAAGAAGTTCATTGGAACACTATTTGAAGCAAAAAAACATATTTTTCTTCCAACAAAAATGAACATGCTATAAAACAAAGAGTTGCCCTGATCAGGCTTTTACTACAATATAGAGGATGGCAGCAATTACAAAGCAAAGTGCTTAAATATTTTGTGTAAAAATTAGACAAAGCAAAAAAGCACACAAGAGACGTGGAAATTAAAGTGCATAACCAAAGGTGACATAAGCAAAAGGTGGTGTGGAAAAGGTAATTACTAATAAATGCGCAAAAAGAAAAAGCAATAGTATGACTGGAACAATACCGGAACCGCTCCGATACGATACCGATTTCACCCCATCCTTGTATCGGAGCGGTATGACCACTATGACCACTCCGATATCACTCCGATATTTTTTTTTTGAAAAAATCTCCCAAGATATCGGAGCGGTAAAACCGCTCCGATACCGCTATATAGCGGCGATATGGCATGAAAAAAGAAAAAAAAAATCAAAAACAGCCTATGTGTACACAAATCAGGCCTATAGGGCTTGAAAAGGTAGGATGTGAGGCTGGGGGGTTATGTGAAACAGATAAATTTAACAAAATCGAGTATAAAATTGAGACCTTTGATGATTTGAGAAACATGAAATGAGAATTGTTAGCCTTTCTTTTTTACCGATTTATCTGTAGGCATAGCTTTTTTCTTTGCAAGTCCATCTAAAAACCCTTGAAGCGCCCTCGCAGCTTCTTCAAAAGCTCCATCGGGCACGATTCCTTCTTTTAACCAGGCTTGAGAACCAACAAGCCGCTCCATAGTTTTCGGCAAGAGACTACCCCGTGAAGGTGTACAAACATCGGCAGCCGCCGAGAATGTACGCTCACAAGCGCATGAGGTAGCAGATAAGGATAAATAATCTCGAGCAAGTTTCGAGAGGATAGGGAAACGGAATTGATGTTCCTGTGAGAAGGACGTATGTTAGCTATGTTTAAAGGGAGAATGATACAAGTTAAAAAGAAGAATATGATCAGTTACCAACCTTCCACCACTTGAGTGGTGTTTGATCCTTCTTGATACGGCATTGACCCTTCAAATAGTCGTCTAGTTCAGAAGCAGTAGTCGAAGAATTGTTGCCACCTTGGCCAACACCGAATATATCAAACTCATCGACATCGGTTTCTTCGGTTTCATCAAGTGGTGCAGCCTGATCATGGACCTTTGTTTCTTCCACAAGGTTGTTGAAAGCTTGATCGATCGCAACTTGGGCTGAGACTGCGTGATTGGGATAATGAATTGAGAAAAACTGCCCTCGGAAACGAGGATTGAGGATGGTCGCTAGCACTAAAGCTTCACAGTTAACGGCCTCCTCCTGGTACTTTTGCAACCATTCAATCATGACATCAATCGCTTTGTCAATACTTGGAAAGAGACTTTCGGCTTGAAGACTCTCGAGTTCGCTGATCACCCGTTTGTATTCGGCAAGGACAAAGCATCCTGTAGGCCCGTTTCCTTCAACTCGGGCAGTTGCATCAACAAAAGTCTAAAGAAGTGGAGGAGAAGGTGGTCAGTAAATCAAAATAAAAACAAAGTTGAAATGTTTACAGACCTTCAACACCTTGTTGACTAACTCCACCGCATTCCATTCTGAAGGTGAGATCGTTACTCCCTTAAAGAAACATGCCTTTCAATCCGCTGATATCATAGAGTTGATAACCTGAAAAGAAAATGTGAGAAGGAGAAGTGAGTTGAGAGTTTTTTTAGAGACATTCCAAAAAGCTACATACCTCTTGTGCCTCACAGGCAATCTTTCTACTCTCGTAGTGACTGTTCCACCTTGTCTTGCAAGGTCTTTTAACCATCCTACCAGAATATCCTAACCGGGTAGCACGGGTCTTGAAATCGCATCGACGGGCTGCACTGCTAGCGATCTGGCCGCTGACAGTGTCAACCTAAAAGTAAGGAAAAAGTTCAATTAGTTTAAGACAACGGAAAAGCAGAATAGTAGAGAAAACATGAGGCTTACCTTTGCCAGAGCTTTTGCAACCACATCAGGTTTGTCTGAAGATGATTCAACTTCATCTGTATTTTCTTCATCATTGTCATCGTCAACTCCATCAGGCTCAGCACCACCCATGTCCTCCTCATCTGATTCTTGCTCATCCTCATCATCATACTCGTCACCATTGACCACGAGCGTAGGAATTGGTAGTGGCCTTCCATGAGGAGTAGTTGGTTTTGCTTTACCAACCTTTTGACCAAGAGATTTGAGTCCATGGCCAAC